AGATCAGGAGCCAGAGCCTTCAGCTATCAGGCTCCTCTCCTGTGGAATCATCTTCCTGTTACGGTCCGGGAGGCAGACACCGTCTCCACATTTAAGACTAGACTTAAGACTTTCCTCTTTGATAAAGCTTATAGTTAGGGCTGGCTCAGGCTTGCCCTGTACCAGCCCCTAGTCAATAAGTAATAACGACATGAATCAGCAGTAATGACGACATGACTCAGCAGTAATGATGACATGATTCAGCAGTAATAGGCCTACTGACATGAATCAGCAGTAATGACATGAATCAGCAGTAATGATGACATGATTCAGCAGTAATAGGCCTACTGACATGAATCAGCAGTAATGACGACATGAATCAGCAGTAATAATGACATGAATCAGCAGTAATAATGACATGAATCAGCAGTAATGACGACATGAATCAGCAGTAATGATGACATGATTCAGCAGTAATAGGCCTACTGACATGAATCAGCAGTAATGACGACATGAATCAGCAGTAATAATGACATGAATCAGCAGTAATGACGACATGAATCAGCAGGTCAGGTTCAAGAGAAACTTTATTGTTACAAAGCACTCTGACAGCCGAACAAGCAGGAAGAGACAGCGGGTTGTTTTTGGCACCTGGCTGGTATGAAACTGCATCCTGGGACATTGAAGGGGGTGGGGGGGTGGGGGGGTGTGGGGGGTGGGGGTGGGGGGGTGGTCATCACAGGGACCAATAGCACATCGGGTTTCAGAGACACAGAACAGATGATGATTGGCTGAGAAGGATGACATCACAGACAGACAATGTCTGTGATTGAAGGGATTTTATACAGGAAGCTAAGCTACGAAGCTACCTTATACATGCAGTTAGCATGGGTTAGCGCTTTCTCTGTTTCCTCAGACTCATCATGACTCCACCTGAACACTGATTAAGCCTCCACCTGAACATTGATGGAACCTCCACCTGAATACTGATGGAGCCTCCACCTGAACACTGACGGAGCCTCCGCCTGAACACTGATGTAACTTCCACCTGAACATTGATGGAACCTCCACCTGAACACTGATGGAACCTCCACCTGAACACTGACGGAGCCTCCACCTGAACACTGACGGAGCCTCCACCTGAACACTGACGGAGCCTCCACCTGAACACTGACGGAGCCTCCACCTGAACACTGACGGAGCCTCCGCCTGAACACTGATGTAACTTCCACCTGAACACTGATGGAGCCTCCACCTGAACACTGATGGAACTTCCACCTGAACTCAGATGGAACCTCCACCTGAACACTGACGGAGCCTCCACCTGAACACTGACGGAGCCTCCACCTGAACACTGACGGAGCCTCCGCCTGAACACTGATGTAACTTCCACCTGAACACTGATGGAGCCTCCACCTGAACACTGATGGAACTTCCACCTGAACACTGATGGAGCCTCCACCTGAACACTGATGGAACTTCCACCTGAACACTGACGGAGCCTCCGCCTGAACACTGATGTAACTTCCACCTGAACACTGATGGAGCCTCCACCTGAACACTGATGGAACTTCCACCTGAACTCAGATGGAACCTCCACCTGAACATTGATGGAACCTCCACCTGAACTCAGATGGACCTCCACCTGAACACTGATGGAACTTCCACCTGAACATTGATGTAACCTCCACCTGAACTCAGATGGACCTCCACCTGAACACTGATGGAACCTCCACCTGAACTCAGATAGACCTCCACCTGAACACTGATGGAACCTAGTCTGGTTCTCATGAAACAGAACCCAGAGTTTAATTGTTCCATCAGCAGGTGGAGAAGCTGAGACGAGTGCAGACGTGTGTTTACATCGATCAGCTCAGAGACACGTCCTCAGGACAGAGTCCCCGAGTCCCAAATGGATCCCTTACAGACTCGTTGACTTGAGGGGAAGTGGTGTCCCAATTCTCCATCAGGTTAGCTCTTAACCTGACAGAGAATTGGGACACCACTTCCCCTCACATGAACGTGCAAAACCAAGGGGAAGGGCCAAGACAAGGGCTAAGGGGAAGAAATGGAATTGGTCCTAGGTCTGTAAGGGCTTAGGGCTTGAGTCAACGAGTCTGTAAGGGATCCATTTGGGACTGGGGGAGTGTGTCCTCGTCTCTTGGTCCAGCTGTCTGACATTAACCCTTCACACTTTGCAGTAGCTCCTTCACTGCCTACGTTTGTATTTCTGCTTATTGTGATGTAATTTCCTGGAGAATCTATACACAAGTCATATCAATAAGATCTGAACCTGAGCTAAAAACTAAAAACTGAGAGTCAATAAAACTGAATAATTAATAAAATTACTGAGATGATATCGTTAATACAAAAGTAAAAAACTCTGTTTTCACATAAGATTTTACAAAATGAAAAAATAAAGAAAATATTTCTGTACGTTCCATCAGTGATTTAAACTGTCATCATTATTTACTTTATTTAGATGTGACCTTTTTTATGAGCAGCAGACGTCAGCCCTCTGACACCACGTTGCATTGATGCACAGTTTTGCACCACACGCAACGTGGCACAATAATGAGTGTATAATATGAGAGTATAACGTGATGACGGTGAGGACAGACGCCTTCACTTCCTGCTGCTGAAAGAATGAAGGTTTGTTGTTCTGGTTTTTATTTCAGATCTGTTTAAAGAGGATCGGACAAACGACAACCTCCTGTGGCAGTCTGAGGGAGGTCAGGTTTTAAAGGGTTAAACAAACGTCCTGCTCTGGAGCGTTCACTCAGATGAATCTGTGTTGATGATGTAACTTCCTGTCAGCATGAACGATGACACGTTTCTAACACGTTTTGTTTTCATACCTGGAACTTCCTCAAGGACCTCTCAGACTTCTTCAAGGACTCCTGGAACAAACTCAAGGCCCCTGAAAAGTGTTTAAGGACGTGTTGAAGCTTCACTCAGACTCAACCTCACCTCTGTCTGATCAGCTTCTCTGAACTAGCAGTGTTTGTGCTAAGCTAGGCTAACTCTGCCCTGATGTGAGTGTGTGCGTGTGTGTGTGTGTGCTGAAAACACACACACACACACACACACAGATGAGACTGAGAAGGAATCAGAGACATGTGTGAACTTAAACTTGATAAAATCCCTCCAACCCGTCTGTGTGATGTCACACATGAAACTCTTCATCCATCAGGCAGTTTCCATGGTAACAGGAGGGGGCGGGGTCTGCAGGCACAGGGTCATCCAATCACAGGCCTTGTTTGGTGAGAGAGGCGGACACCTGACAGGAAGACATGTGTTCAGTACAGGTGGTTGAAGGCTGTGCCCGATGTGTATGTGTGTGTGTGTGTGTGTGTGAGTGTGTGTGTGTGCATGAGAGAATCTCTCACCTGGTCTACCAGAGCGTCGAGGGGCGGAGCTTCAGCAGGGTTAAGGCTTCCGGGGGAGGAAGTGTTGCTGAGGCGAGAAGGGGAGGAGTCAGGCTGGTCGATGATGACGGCACCGTGGTCTGTTCGAGCTTTGGCGCTCTCTCTGAAGGTCAACTTCTGACTCTCGATCTGTGGACATCATTCACACACACACACACATGCAGCAGAGGGACGGAGATGTCAGACGTCACGTCCTCTGATATCCACAGAGATACAAACTCCACATGTCACAGAACACGTCTGCCAGCACACAGGAGAGACGTGATGTCATCGTCTGTACAGTGTTTAGATCATGTTTATCAGCAGGTGGTGAACGTGAGTCATGTGACTCATTCTGTCGGCTCCAGTAACCAGCTCGCTGTCAAACACTGTTAGCATGTTGTTAGCATGTTGTTAGCATGGCGGTGAAGATTCTCAGTCGTCCAGGTCATGGTGATCATAAGTGCTGTATCGTAGGATCTGGACCTGCCTGAGTTTCCTGAAGACGTGTCACGTCTCGTCCTTCTTCAGTTCTGATGGTCTGGTGCAGAGTGGCAGGATTTATACTCTGAGGGTGTGAACCTGACAGAGTCACTGAGATCACTGAAGTCACATGTGAGTGGTTGACCCACCCGACCATCATGGTCATCGTGTTGTTAAGGTCAGATGGGTCCAGGTGTGAATGGGTGTTAGACTGCAGTGTAGGTGGGTGATAAGTGGCGTCGTATGTCACCTCCTCTGTTTAACCACGGTCGTTCCAGCTTGACGTAGACGGCTTCTTCTTTTACTCCTCTTTCAAACCATCTGTCTTCTCTGGCCAAGACGTGCACATTGCTTTCTTCAAAGGAGTGTCCATTCTCCTGTAGATGTAAGTGGACAGCTGAGTCTTGACCTGAGGAGCCGGCTCTCCTGTGCTGTGCCATGAGTGTGTGGAGCGGTTGTTTAGTTTCACCAATGTCCTGTCTGGGTGTTTTAACACCTGACGACCATCATTAAACAGAGGAGGTGGGAGGTGACCTATGACACCACTCATCACCCACCTACACTGCAGTCCTGAGATCCATCTGACCCTGACGACACACATGATGGTCGGGCGGGTCAAAGACTCACATGTGTCAGTTGACACCCACAGAGTATAAATCCTGCCACTCTGCACCAGACCGTCAGAAGTGAAGAAGAATGAGACATGACACGTCCTCAGGAAACTCAAGCTGGTCCAGATCCTACAATACAGCACTGAAGAATGTTGTTAGCATGTTGTTAATGTGTTGTTAGCAGGTTGTTAGCATGTTGGTTGTTCTTGTGTTGTTAGCATGTTGTTAGCGTCTTGTTAGCATGTTGTTCTTGTGTTGTTAGCAGGTTGTTAGCATCTTGTTAGCATGTTGCTGACAAATACCTTCTTCCTCCCTCCTCCTGCCACATGCGTGATGTTCTCCAGAGAACCCACTTTGGACTGAACAGTTTTAAAATCCAGCTTCTCTGATTTAATCTCCACCTTTCCTCCACCTGTCAAACACACACACACACACACACACACACACACACACACACAGTGTTTAGCGTCCTCATCAGGGTCCATCAGTGGACCAACAGTCCTCATCAGGGTCCATCAGTGGACCAACAGTCCTCATCAGGGCCCATCAGTGGACCAACAGTCGTCATCAGGGTCCATCAGTGGACCGACAGTCCTCATCAGGGTCCATCAGTGGACCAACAGTCCTCATCAGGGTCCATCAGTGGACCAACAGTCCTCATCAGGGTCCATCAGTGGACCAACAGTCCTCATCAGGGTCCATCAGTGGACCAACAGTCCTCATCAGGGTCCATCAGTGGACCAACAGTCCTCATCAGGGTCCATCAGTGGACCAACAGTCCTCATCAGGGTCCATCAGTGGACCAACAGTCCTCATCAGGGTCCATCAGTGGACCAACAGTCCTCATCAGGGTCCATCAGTGGACCAACAGTCCTCATCAGGGTCCATCAGTGGACCAACAGTCCTCATCAGGGTCCATCAGTGGACCAACAGTCCTCATCAGGGTCCATCAGTGGACCAACAGTCCTCATCAGGGTCCATCAGTGGACCAACAGTCCTCATCAGGGTCCATCAGTGGACCAACAGTCCTCATCAGGGTCCATCAGTGGACCAACAGTCCTCATCAGGGTCCATCAGTGGACTAGTCTCCTGCATGTTTCTGATATGAATGTAATGATTAAATGATATATTTTGGTGGTTTGAGTTGAAGGTGTGAGAAAGAATAGTATCAGTAACATTGTTAACACTGTGCTACATTACAGAGAAATACAAAACCGTACTAATGAACCTTCATTAATATAGGCCTATATTTTATCTACAAGTGCACGTCACACACTGAGCGAGCCGCCTGTTAATGACGCTGTGGGCTAATGGGCATGTAGCTACTTCCATGTTTCAGATGATACGTCATGTTTGTAGTCGACCAATGAAGATGAGTTTACATATCACCTTGGGTTCGTCCTTCACCTTCTCAAAATGATCCCACACTTTGGATTTCCTGCCCGACATGTTATTAACTAGCCTGTGGAATAACCGCAGGTACCAGCCCTGGAGATTAACCTGACTCCTGTCTGACTGCTGAGCGTGGACACTTCCTGTGTCTGTCCTTTCAAAGTAAAGTCACACATGCCCCAGTCATATAGGTTTGGATTTATTTTGACAGGTGCAGCTCCGTGTGTTACAGTTACATCATGTGAAGTAAGTAGAGAGTGTGTGTGTGTGTGTGTGTGTGTGTGTTACCTGGTTTGTGGTAGATGTTGTCTTTAGAGCCACATTTTGATGTCACATTAGAGAGATCCATCTTCTTAGTGACAATCTGAACCTACAGACAGACAGACAGACAGACAGAATTGAATTTATTTTCAGTTGATTCGGACTGGAAATCCTCGGGAATATTATGCTCTTCCAGAAAGGCCGTTAATTGACTGTGAACTATCTTCTCGAGGGTTTTTGAAAGAAAAGGCAGTTTGGAGATAACTGCAGGATCTAGACCAAGTTTTCTAATCAGAGGTTGCTCTACTGCATGTTTAAAATGTTCAGGGACCACACCTGAGGACAGACTGCTATTCATGACTGCAATAACAGATGACCCTACACTGGGGAAAACCTCTTTAAATAGCTGAGGAGGGACAGCATCATTTGGAGAACCTGAGGGCTTCAAATGACCAACAATCTGCTGCATAAAGGACACAAGCTCAAACTGGTGAAAGACAGTAGAGCAGGACAGAGATCGAGGGGTCATGAGCAGAAGGTGAGACAAGTGCCCTAGTGCAAGTGACCTTATCAATAACAGCCTCCATACAGACAGTCTGCGGGCATTAAGAACCGAGTCAATAGTCTTAAACAGAACATGAGGCTTCTGACAGTTTGACAGAATAATATCAGTCAAGTGTTTTCTTTTAGCGTCTCTCACAGATGTCTGATAATGAGGCCAGCAGTCCCTGAGCATTTGGAAAGACACCTGCAGTTTGTCCTTTTTCCACTTGCACTCAACATCACCTGCTCCTTCAGTCCTCCACCTGAAGGTCAGGGACAACACCACCCTCACTGGGCTCGTCTGTGGGGATGGCTCCGCCCACAGGTGGGAGATGGACCACCAGGTGACAGGGACCTGAACACTTGGAGGGCACTGGAGATGGTTGTGGATTTAACAAAGAATGCAGCCTCATCACCACGTGTCACTCCTCACCTCCTCCATCACCTCCTGCTATGCTGCTGTCAAGGACATGGATGGACTGTGGTCTATGATTCTCCCCAAGGACCTGTACATCTCAGTGCCATGAGGACCCTCCAGGACCCTGAGGCAGGCAGTATAGATCACAGCTGACTGTCCCATCCTGGACACACAGTCTTTGAAACAGGAAGTAGCGGTCCATCAGGACTCTGACGCAGTCTTTGGTCATGTGACTTTCTGCAGGTGACCTAAGGTTAAACTGACCGAGGAGACGAAGCTGATCAGATATTGATTAACATAACTAGTTATGTTACAGCTGGTAGATCAGGTCACAGCTGGAAGATCCTGTCACAGATGGTAGATCAGGTGACAGCTGGAAGATCCTGTGACAGATGGTAGATCAGGTCACAGCTAGCAGATCAGGTCACAGCTGGTAGATCCTGTCACAGTCGGTACATCAGGTCACAGCTGGTAGATCCTGTCACAGCTGGTACATCAGGTCACAGCTGGTAGATCCTGTCACAGCTGGTAGATCAGGTCACAGCTGGTAGATCCTCTCACAGCTGGTAGATCCTGTCACAGCTGGAAGATCAGGTCACAGCTGGTAGATCAGGTCACAGCTGGAAGATCCTGTGACAGATGGTAGATCAGGTCACAGCTGGTAGATCCTGTCACAGCTGGTAGATCTGGTCACAGCTGAAAGATCCTGTCACAGCTGGTAGATCAGGTCACAGCTGGTAGATCCTGTCACAGCTGGTAGATCAGGTCACAGCTGGTAGATCAGGTCACAGCTGGTAGATCCTGTCACAGCTGGTAGATCAGGTCACAGCTGGTAGATCAGGTCACAGCTGGTAGATCCTGTCACAGCTGGTAGATCAGGTCACAGCTGGTAGATCAGGTCACAGCTGGTAGATCCTGTCACAGCTGGTAGATCAGGTCACAGCTGGTAGATCAGGTCACAGCTGGTAGATCCTGTCACAGCTGGTAGATCAGGTCACAGCTGGTAGATCAGGTCACAGCTGGTAGATCCTGTCACAGCTGGTAGATCAGGTCACAGCTGGTAGATCAGGTCACAGCTGGTAGATCCTGTCACAGCTGGTAGATCAGGTCACAGCTGGTAGATCAGGTCACAGCTGGTAGATCCTGTCACAGCTGGTAGATCAGGTCACAGCTGGTAGATCAGGTCACAGCTGGTAGATCCTGTCACAGCTGGTAGATCAGGTCACAGCTGGTAGATCAGGTCACAGCTGGTAGATCCTGTCACAGCTGGTAGATCAGGTCACAGCTGGTAGATCAGGTCACAGCTGGTAGATCCTGTCACAGCTGGTAGATCAGGTCACAGCTGGTAGATCAGGTCACAGCTGGTAGATCCTGTCACAGCTGGTAGATCAGGTCACAGCTGGTAGATCAGGTCACAGCTGGTAGATCCTGTCACAGCTGGTAGATCAGGTCACAGCTGGTAGATCAGGTCACAGCTGGTAGATCCTGTCACAGCTGGTAGATCAGGTCACAGCTGGTAGATCAGGTCACAGCTGGTAGATCCTGTCACAGCTGGTAGATCAGGTCACAGCTGGTAGATCAGGTCACAGCTGGTAGATCCTGTCACAGCTGGTAGATCAGGTCACAGCTGGTAGATCAGGTCACAGCTGGTAGATCCTGTCACAGCTGGTAGATCAGGTCACAGCTGGTAGATCAGGTCACAGCTGGTAGATCCTGTCACAGCTGGTAGATCAGGTCACAGCTGGTAGATCAGGTCACAGCTGGTAGATCCTGTCACAGCTGGTAGATCAGGTCACAGCTGGTAGATCAGGTCACAGCTGGTAGATCCGGTCACAGCTGGTAGATCAGGTCACAGCTGGTAGATCAGGTCACAGCTGGTAGATCCTGTCACAGCTGGTAGATCAGGTCACAGCTGGTAGATCAGGTCACAGCTGGTAGATCCTGTCACAGCTGGTAGATCAGGTCACAGCTGGTAGATCAGGTCACAGCTGGTAGATCCTGTCACAGCTGGTAGATCAGGTCACAGCTGGTAGATCAGGTCACAGCTGGTAGATCCTGTCACAGCTGGTAGATCAGGTCACAGCTGGTAGATCAGGTCACAGCTGGTAGATCCTGTCACAGCTGGTAGATCAGGTCACAGCTGGTAGATCAGGTCACAGCTGGTAGATCCTGTCACAGCTGGTAGATCAGGTCACAGCTGGTAGATCAGGTCACAGCTGGTAGATCCTGTCACAGCTGGTAGATCAGGTCACAGCTGGTAGATCAGGTCACAGCTGGTAGATCCGGTCACAGCTGGTAGATCAGGTCACAGCTGGTAGATCAGGTCACAGCTGGTAGATCCTGTCACAGCTGGTAGATCAGGTCACAGCTGGTAGATCAGGTCACAGCTGGTAGATCCTGTCACAGCTGGTAGATCAGGTCACAGCTGGTAGATCAGGTCACAGCTGGTAGATCCTGTCACAGCTGGTAGATCAGGTCACAGCTGGTAGATCAGGTCACAGCTGGTAGATCCTGTCACAGCTGGTAGATCAGGTCACAGCTGGTAGATCAGGTCACAGCTGGTAGATCCTGTCACAGCTGGTAGATCAGGTCACAGCTGGTAGATCAGGTCACAGCTGGTAGATCCTGTCACAGCTGGTAGATCAGGTCACAGCTGGTAGATCAGGTCACAGCTGGTAGATCCTGTCACAGCTGGTAGATCAGGTCACAGCTGGTAGATCAGGTCACAGCTGGTAGATCCTGTCACAGCTGGTAGATCAGGTCACAGCTGGTAGATCAGGTCACAGCTGGTAGATCCTGTCACAGCTGGTAGATCAGGTCACAGCTGGTAGATCAGGTCACAGCTGGTAGATCCTGTCACAGCTGGTAGATCAGGTCACAGCTGGTAGATCAGGTCACAGCTGGTAGATCCGGTCACAGCTGGTAGATCAGGTCACAGCTGGTAGATCAGGTCACAGCTGGTAGATCCTGTCACAGCTGGTAGATCAGGTCACAGCTGGTAGATCAGGTCACAGCTGGTAGATCCTGTCACAGCTGGTAGATCAGGTCACAGCTGGTAGATCAGGTCACAGCTGGTAGATCCTGTCACAGCTGGTAGATCAGGTCACAGCTGGTAGATCAGGTCACAGCTGGTAGATCCTGTCACAGCTGGTAGATCAGGTCACAGCTGGTAGATCAGGTCACAGCTGGTAGATCCTGTCACAGCTGGTAGATCAGGTCACAGCTGGTAGATCAGGTCACAGCTGGTAGATCCTGTCACAGCTGGTAGATCAGGTCACAGCTGGTAGATCAGGTCACAGCTGGTAGATCCTGTCACAGCTGGTAGATCAGGTCACAGCTGGTAGATCAGGTCACAGCTGGTAGATCCTGTCACAGCTGGTAGATCAGGTCACAGCTGGTAGATCAGGTCACAGCTGGTAGATCCGGTCACAGCTGGTAGATCAGGTCACAGCTGGTAGATCAGGTCACAGCTGGTAGATCCTGTCACAGCTGGTAGATCAGGTCACAGCTGGTAGATCAGGTCACAGCTGGTAGATCCTGTCACAGCTGGTAGATCAGGTCACAGCTGGTAGATCAGGTCACAGCTGGTAGATCCTGTCACAGCTGGTAGATCAGGTCACAGCTGGTAGATCAGGTCACAGCTGGTAGATCCTGTCACAGCTGGTAGATCAGGTCACAGCTGGTAGATCAGGTCACAGCTGGTAGATCCTGTCACAGCTGGTAGATCAGGTCACAGCTGGTAGATCAGGTCACAGCTGGTAGATCCTGTCACAGCTGGTAGATCAGGTCACAGCTGGTAGATCAGGTCACAGCTGGTAGATCCTGTCACAACTGGTAGATCAGGTCACAGCTGGTAGATCAGGTCACAGCTGGTAGATCCTGTCACAACTGGTAGATCAGGTCACAGCTGGTACATCAGGTCACAGCTGGTAGATCCTGTCACAGCTGGTACATCAGGTCACAGCTGGTAGATCCTGTCACAGCTGGTAGATCCTGTCACAGCTGGTACATCAGGTCACAGCTGGTAGATCAGGTCACAGCTGGTAGATCCTGTTACAGCTGGAAGATCAGGTCACAGCTGGTAGATCCTGTCACAGCTGGTAGATTAGGTCACAGCTGGTAGATCCTGTCACAGCTGGTAGATCAGGTCAGACAAATGTGTGTGTGTGTGTGTGTGTGTTACCTTGCCCCCTCCAGGTGAGTGTTTCAGGTTCTCCGTTGATCCGATCTTTGACTTCACATTGCTGAGGTCAGGCATCGGGTGGGAGGGGAGGGGGGGTGTCCGTCCACGAGCAGAACCAGGAGACCTGGGGGGAGTCCGGACCACTGCCACCTGGAGGACGATGACGATGAACAGGACATCAGATAGACAGAGACACAGACAGACAGACAGACAGGTGCTAAGACAGACAGACAGACAGACAGACAGACAGACAAGTGTACAGACAGACAGACAGACAGACAGACAAGTGTACAGACAGACAAGTGTACAGACAGACAGACAGACAGGCGTTCAGACCTTCCTGACGTCTCTGTTTGGAGTTGATGGTCGACTGGCAGGAGAGCGACTTCCTGGACTGTTGACTCCGTCCACTGACTCTGCCAGAGGGATAGACAGGTAAAGGGTCAGAGAGACAGGTTAACTGGTGTCACTGGTGTCCTTGGTTGAACTGGTGTCACTGATTTGAACTGGTGTCACTGATTTGAACTGGTATCACTGGTGTCCTTGGTTGAACTGGTTGAACCGGTGTAACTGGTTGAACTGGTTTCACTAGTGTCACTGGTTGTACTGGTGTAGGTTTGTACCTGTACTCTTGGCTGAGACCATCCTGGCTGCTCTGGCGCCCCCTGTTGACCTGGAGGCCTGAAACAAACACATTTTACACATGTCACAACGGCCCAATTCCAATCCGATCTCTTACAGACTCACTGACTTAGAGACGCGTTCATGTGAAGTGTGTGAGTGTGTGAGGGCTGTCCCATTGTCAAATCGTCAAGTCAGTGAGTCAGTGAGTGAGCCCTTTATGCCCCCTTACCAAAGGTCAGCATCGATGCAGACTTACGGTAAGGAAATTACCCACAGTTCATAGCGTTGTGACGTCAAATACAGGGGTTGCCCTCGGAACACCGGAAGTGTTATAAAAAATAAAAAAAAAGATAACACGGTCGGCAGATATGCAAATGGTAACGTTATGGAAGGAGAGCGAAAAAACAGATAGATAAACAATGAAACATTACATTGATTAAGGATTTAAGATGGTACATAAACACACATGAAGTCAGAGGAATACCAGTGGTTATATTCCACACACAAAGAATATATGTCTATATATCTATATATGTATTCTTTGTGTGTGGAATATATGCTGACAATAACCGATAAATGATCACGCCCAGAGCTGCCAATGTTAACAACATTTTGTAGAGAGGGATAAGTGCTGTCCCATTCCTATTTGTAGCATCCAGAGCCCTTTCAGACTCTCACACTCAGTCACTTACAGCTGACGTCAGTTAAGTCAGTGAGGGTTCAGGGCTTGAGTCTTTAGGGGCCGGATTGGAATTGGGCCATCATCACCATCATCATCATCATCATCATCATCATCATCATCA